TGGGGGGTGGATACTTGATAACTGAAATAGACCTTTTAAGACAAACAGCTCTATCTCCTCCAGATACCCAGTCAGGGCACATACAAGCATCAATCAATAAATGCATTAGAAGTGGAACAACACATCGATGTTTCTCTCTCTCTGAAATCAATAAAATTAAATAAAAATCATAAAAGACAAACAGCTCCATTTCAGACCAAGTCAAGCTATCAACTTGAAACAGGTTTTTTAAAATTATTATTATTTTTATTGATTTCAGAGAGGAAGGAAGAGGAAGGAGAAATAGAAACATCAATAATGAGAGAGAATCATTGACTGCTGCCCTTGCATGCCCCCCACTGGGGATTGAGCCCACAACCCAGGCATATGCCCCGACTGGAATTGAACCTGGGACCCTTCAGTCCACAGGCTGACACGCTATCCACTGAGCCAAACTGGCTAGGGCTTGAAACAGTTATATTTGCTTTAGGGTTGTTTTTTTTTTTGGAATATATTTTTATTGATTTCAAAGAGGAAGGGAGAGGGAGAGAGAGAAACATCAATGATGAGAATCATTGATCGGCTGCCTCCTGTATGTCCCCTACTGGGGATCAAGCCCGCAGGCCGGGCATGTGCCCTGACCTGGAATCGAACTGTGACCTTCTTGTTCATATATCAGTGCTCAATCACGGAGCCACGCCCGCTGGGTTTTGCTTTAGTTTTGAGTCAGTGATGGCCGTGCACACGTGAAAGTGAAGGTCCCAGAGCACAGAAGCATCCTATATAATAAAGAGGTGATATGCAAATTGACCCTCACTCCGTCATGCCGTCACAAAAATGGCTGCGCCCACAGCAGAGGCGGGGTTCCCGTAACACAACATGGCTGCGCACACAGCAGACGCGGGGTTCCCGTAACGAGCGATCAGCAGGGACCTGAGGCTGCGTGGTGCTGGGCCAGGGCGGGGGACCTGAGGCTGCACCCCCCCATCCAGCGGGGCTTGACAGGGGTGGGGCCGGCTGGGTCTGGATCTCGCCCAATGGGGGTGGGGCTGGCTGGGTGATTTCGAGGTGCATGCAGGTGGGCGGGGACTTGACTCTGGGTCCCTCGGCGTGCCCAGACTCCAGTGACGAGGAAGATTTTCATATACATTTTACTAATTTTCTTTCATCTCTGACACTTCTATTATAGAGAAAGGGCAAACAGCAATATTAAATATTTCCTCTAATTAATTTCCTTTTAATGTGCACGAATTTCATGCACCGGGCCACTAGTATGTAATAAAAATCAAGTCTCCCTCCCGCCCGTCCCAGAGACACTGGCTCCTGGACTGATCTGTGCAGACAGAAGTTTCTGTTTAGTCTGCATTTTACTCAGGGCAGCAGCACAGTTACAAACTAACTGTTCCCTCCCGCTGTGTCCTGTAGCCACGCGCCTTTAAGATCTTGGCTCATGGGCACCTCCAGACCCGCGAGTGTCCTTCCAGGGCCGCCGGGATGCGTCGGGGTCTCTGTTGGATGCGTCTCTGAAGTCAGAGGTTACGTACATTGGCGACTTTGGTGGATGCTGCCTGAGGGGACCCCGCAGCCGTCTTGCCCCTCATGACTGCTCCCTTCCTTCCGACCTGCGGATTCTGTGGATTCCTTAGCGGCGTTGTTTGGCGCCCTGCCAGGCACACTGAGGGCCACAGTTGAATCTGTTCCTCCTCGCAGACCTGGGGTGCTGTTTGCCTGCAGAGGGCCCTGTCCTGGCGGCTCAGGTGAGTCCTGGTCGCACTGCAGTGGCAGAGCTGGGACGGAACCCAGGCCTTCCTGCTGAGGTCAAGGCCGTTCTGCTCGAGCATGTGCCCGATACTGTGGGCAGTGGGTGCTCCATCCGCCGGGGCATCACCCCACTCACGGGTGGGGGCAGGGCTGGTGACTGGGACAGGTGGGGGTGGATGCGCTCCTGGAAAAGACAGGACCAGGGCTCCCCAGCCAGGCCCACCCCGCAGCCACTGGCCTGGCCCAGAACCCAGTGACCAGGTGGCATAGCTGGGGCCATGACCTACCTGTTCCTGGTTGGCTGACACGTGGCGAGGCTGGGCTTGAGGAGGCAGAGGGTCCACACTCCAAGGAGGGGCCAGCTGTTAGTGCCCCAGTGTGTGCATGTGTGTGCGTGTGTGTGTGCGTGCGTGCGCGGGTCAGGGCACAGCCTGTGAACCTGTAGCCTGTTGGAAGGAGCATCTCCCTCCACTGACCTCCCTGTGGCCCATCTGGTCCCTTCCGCCCTCTGTACCTTGGTCTGCCATTTTTGAAATGGTCAGAGTCCTGCCTGGGTCTGTAGGTCCCCCACCAGGAGGTTGACACCCCTCCCCCACTTCTGCAACCCTGGCCTTTCTGTCTTTTGCAGAACACCTACTGTGTGCTGCACCGGAACGCTCCTCACTCAGCTTTCATGCAGCCTGGGAGGGAGATGGCATCTCCCCATTTCCCAGGTTTGGAAACCGAGGCCAGGCCGGGAGCTGGTGGCTGGCGCAGAGCTGTTTACCGGAAGCGGGCCAGCTGTGTCCTCCGAGGCCCGCAGGTGTCCTCACGGCGTGGGGGCGGCTGTCGCACAGGGGCGAGATTTGCATCCTGATCTCTGTGGGCAAAACAGGGCTCCTGGCCGTGTTTTCCACTGAGTGTGTGGGGGGTAAGGAGTGGGCTGTCTGGGTGGGTGGGGATGTGCGGCTAGGTGTGCCTTCCTTTCACCAAGGAAGGGCTTTAAACCACATATTTGCAAATCTGTTGGAAAAAATAGATGCTTAAAACCAGGCCCGGCTCCTGGATGCGCAGCTGCGAGGCCTTTGCTTAGTCACTCGACAAGCACTGCTCTGCTCTGTGCTGCGAGTCGGGGATGACGGAAGCCGCTCCTGTGCTGCCGGCTGACGCTGAGCCTGGCTCATGAGCTCGGATTCCGCCCCTTTGTCCCCTCAGCAGCCCGGAGAGGCAGCGCTGCTAGTGTCAGTGAGGAGGGAGGACACCCCGCAGCCTGGCCCCAGTCCCTGCTCGAAGTCACAGGTGCAGGACCCGCCACGCCCATGCGGTTGGCTGGAGACAGAGGGAGCAGAGATGGCTGTGGGAGCCCTGGTGCCCCCCCCCCACTCTAGGATCTGGGACGGGGACGCTAGAGCCGAGCTCTTTAGGATGCAAATCTCGCCCCTGTGCCGAGTTCGAAAGCTGAGTGAGGAGAGAGGAGTGAGCCAAGCAGAGGAGCCAGGATGGTGGCCAGCGGGCACTGCCCATGACACATCGGGCACAGTTACAGCCGTCTGTAGTGTGGCAGGGACAGGGTCCAAGATTAGGGGGCAGGCTGAGCTGGCGAGGCGGCCTTGGTGAGGAGAGGGCCCTGGTAGCAGGTGGCCTGGCTCCCGTGGGGACTAGGAGCCGAGTGGACCTGTGACGGGCAGATCGCAGACTGCCGTCTAGGAATCAGGTCAGAGACAAGCAAGGCCGGGCAGCGGGGCCGGGCGGAGGTGCCCAGACCGGGCGGGAGGACCAGGGCTGGAGGCTGCTGCAGGGACCCTGCCCCAGTTCCCAGCCACACTCTGTTCTGCCCAGATCTAGAGCCCAAGGCCAGCCCGGCCTGGCTGGGGAGCATATAAGGGGCCCATACCCAGGGCTGAGGTCAGGCCTGGACAATGGTAGGTGCTCGGACACCTGCCAGGATTATAACGGCGCCGCTGGCTTTTGCCTGGAAAAGGAGCCCCGTTTGGGGGACCATTTTCCCTATTTTAGAGATAAGGGCACGGTGCCTCCACCAGGCTCACACCACAAGTGACCCCAGTGACCGGCGGGTGAGGATGCTAACCAGGAACCCCCCCTCCCGAGTGTCCGCAGTGGGACGCAGCCGGGAGGAAGGCTGAGACTCAGGTGTAGACTCAGGCCCTGCCCCGAAACAGTTCAGTCCATGGGGGGAGGCCCCACCCCACTGCTCACCCACCTGGCGCTGCTCAGACCGCTCAGGCCCCAGCCCCAGCCTGGCCAAGCCGCCCGCGGTCACTGTCCCTGGCCAGGCACCTGCCCTGTAGGACTGGTGGGGTGGTGCCGCCCCATTTGTTGCCAAAGGCTTCCGGGATTGTCTGCGGGGTGGGGGTGGGGGAGGGATGTGGGGACAGTGGGTCAAGGTGAGGCTCGGAGACCCCAGGCCCAGTGAGGTCCCCTCGAGGCCCCAGCAGGGAGGGGTTTCCAGGGGAGCACCCAGCAGCCTTAGCCTGCGGAGGGGAGTGGGGTAGAGGGAGGGGGAACCCGAAGGCGGATGCAAATGAGGGCTGGGGCTGCTTTCCCAGGGAAATGGTCATTTACATAGACACCAGCCCCCTGGGGCCTGGGCGCAGGCAGCGTTCCTGGTCACAATTCCTCAACAATCCGCCTAACACCAGCCTAACACCAGCTCAAGTGCTTGTGCGCGCACACTGCCTGCAGCCTGTGCCCTGCTCCCTCACCCAGGAGAGCTGTCTCCATTCATCTGGGTCTTTTCTGTCTTTAATGGAGTGTTACGTTTTCTTTCTTTTTAAAATAGGTTTTTGTTGATTGCAGAGAAAGGAAGGGAAAGAGAGAGAGAAACATCAATGGCGAGAGGGAATCATCAGTCGGCTGCCTCCTGCACGCCCCACACTGGGATCGAACCGTGACCTCTTGGTCATAGGTCGACACTCAGCGCTCAACCCCTGAGCCACACTGGCTGGGCTGGAGTGTTCCATTTTTCTCCAGAGTTTAAGCGTGTTTTATGAGGTTCGTGCCTGATCAAAGCCTGGGAAGATGTGTTTCTTTTCTCCTGATACTTCCTGGTTGCCTTTAGGGATGCCGTGGGTTTTTGTATGTTTGTCTTGGATCTGGAACCTTGAAACTCGGTGGTTCTCAACCTTCCTAATGCTGTGACCCTTTAATACAGTTCCTCATGTTGTGACCCCCAATTTCATCGTGACAAATTGAACATAATTAAAGCATAGTGACTAATCACAAAAACAATATGTAATTATATGTGTGTTTTCCGATGGTCTTAGGCGACCCCTGTGAAAGGGTCCTTCGACCCCCAAAGGGGTCGCGACCCACAGGTTGAGAACCACTGTTGTAACTCCTGGCACTTCCAAGAGCTGCTTCTCTTCGTGAATGTTTGTATCTGCCCGGAGCTTCCTTCCGGCCTTTTACGAAAAGGACCCCCTCTCCTCCTGCCGGATTGGATGGCGCATCCTCGATCCTCTCCTCAGCTTCCTCTCACTCGCTCAAGTTCAGTCGGTTGTCTCTGTTGAAGTCTCGCTCGATCCTCTTTCCTTTGGTACCAGTGCCCCCTCCCCCCGAGTTCTCCTTTCTCTGTTCAGACGGGCAAAGTTGCCGGAAAGAGTGGTGAAATGAGTGTCAGGGCTGGGGGCCAGCGCCCCTGGCTGCCTGGGGTCAGGGCTGGTCACTTTGAGCAGCCAACGCCCCCCTGCCCCCCAATAATAAGGCTAAGAAGTCAACTCTGGCCACAGCAGTGGCTTCAGACCATACTGGTGACGTGTCATGAACAACTGCAGGGGGCCACCTTCACTGCCCTCAGCGTCCCCTGGCGTTGATGGGGGATCTACACACCCAGCGCTGGGTGATGAAATTGCTGACAGCATTCAGGCCCTTAGAACTGTCCCCGTGCCCTTCCCTGTACAGCTGTGCAGGCCGATGGTTTGGGGCGTCCCTGCGTCTTGGCCCTACAGGCTTTTAACACTTCGCCTGCAGGTCCCTCGGCCACCTGCAGCGCCCCTCCCCCCGGGGTGCGGTGCTGGGCCTGGCCTGCCAGCTCCCCCCGGGCAGGGGCTGTCCTGACAGGTGCGCTGGCAGATGCCAGGCCGCGGGCTCTGCGAGCCATTGTGGCTGTGTTTACGTGTCTGCTTTCCCCGCCCCGCTCCCACTCCTGCTCCCCGCTCCCGCTCCGCTGCCTTTCCGAGGGGCTGCCATCGGGAACAGACGTAAAACTGCGCTGCCCGCTCAGGAAACTCAGACAGCTGGCCCTCTTTGGGAAACACTCGGAGCAGTTCTGCCCTAGAACAATGCTGTCCTTATGCGGTCCTTCCCCTCTCAGAGGCCAGGCCCTCTCGCCTGTCTGCGCCCTCGCTGACGTCACGCCCGTCCATCTCCTTGCCTGCCTTCTGGGTGCATTGTTGAGACTCACCTGTCGGGACTCGCCGGACACCTGGGGACCCACAGCTTCCCTCTGTGATCCCGGGAGCCCTGGCCCCCCTTCGCCTCTGCCCCCTCCCCCTTTCATGCTGGAGCAAGTGGTGAGCGCACGCTTGTCCAGCCTCAGTCCCCGGAGGATGGGTGCCCGTGCAGCCTGCAGACATCACTCTGGGAGCCGGGAGGTTTGGGGCTCTGCTCCTTCCTTGTTCAGGGCAGGCCAACGTGCGGAGTCAGACCCATTTAAAAACCCCGGACGCTATTGTAAGAAGATAATAAGGAAATGCAAAGGCCCTAATGGTTAGTGCCTGCTCCCTCTGCTCAAGGCACCTGCAGGAGACCCCTCCTCTCCAACCCCCGAGGGAGGGGCTGCAGGTACCGTGCAGATGAGAGAACGGGGCGCCATGGCAGAGGGGGGACGTGAATTCGGACTCTTTGGTTCCATTCCTCCTCCTCCTCCTCTGGCCCCACGGCCGTCTGGTACAGCAGGGGGGATGGTAAATGATGTTCAGCCAGGGCAGAGGCTCACCCAGCGGTCACGTGGTGACGTGAACAGGGATTGATGTGGGAGTTCACAGTTGTAACAGGTGGACCTTTGGCTGCAAGGAATGGGAAAGGCGGTGAATGGTGATTTGAGCACATTGGGTTTTTGTTTTTCGCACACAGGCGGGCAGTGGCTTGTATTTTTCTGTTGTTCCAGGAGTGCCCGCCGGGAGCCAGCTCTCCACCTTGGCTCTGTGTCCTCAGCACGGTCGGTCGTTGTTCTTGTACTCGACACCTCAGTGTCCTAAAAGGGCTGCTGCAGCGCCAGCCTTCACGTCCGGGTTGCAGGCAGCAGGGAGGGGAAGGGCTTCCCAGGCCGTGTCTGCTCCCTCTCAACTCCCACATCAGACTCCTGAGACCTCATCGACCAGGATGGGTTACATGCCCATCACTAGCTGCAGGGCATGCTGGGAAAGTGAGAACAGGAGTGTCGTGATGGGCTTAGATGCACAAGGATTCAGGGCCTCCTGAGGGAAACTGGTTGTGAGCAGGGGGCGGGGAGGTGGTAAGAGCCTTGCCGAGACGGAGGAGAACGGAGGCCGTACCACTCTGTGAGGAGGGTCCCATGTTTGAAATCGTGTCAATGTGCTTACAGAGCCCGGGAGATCGGCAGGGTCCCCGTGGAATCGGGGCTGCCCTCCCGCTCAGGGGAAACGGCGGTGCCCAGGAGCCGTGCTCCAGGTGGACCCAGCCTCCGTCACTATTGTGACAGTAGACACCTGGTGGTGTAGTTTGCCAGCTGCCTCTTGGGGGCCAGTATGAGAGCCTTTCTTATATTTTTAGCTGATTTCTTTTTTCTTTCACAAAGAAAAGACAAGAGCCCTTACGAATCATTCTCAGATCCCTGACTTTAGAAATGTATGGTGGAGAACAGAGAGGTGCGGTGACTTGCCCAGAGGCACACAGCTGGCGTGTGGCGGGCTTCATGCTGGGGGAGCTGGGGGAAGAGGCTGATGATGGCTTTAGCAGAGGGGGTGAGGGCGAGGGTGGAGGTAAGGGCGCGTCGTTGGGCATCAGTCACCTGTGTGTGTCTTTCTTCCCCAGAGAAGACATGTCTCAAGCAGGACACCTCTCCAGGAGCCTCATCTTGTGCACCTTCCTGCAGGAGCACGGGCTGCAAGCGGTGGAGGATCCCGGCGTGACCAGCCTCCTCCAGTACTCGCCTGAGCCCCTGGGGTAGGTCCCACCAGCTGTCTGCGGGCCCCGCCCTCCCCATTCCTGGTTCCGGACCTGGGGGTGGTGAGGAGAGCAGGCCTGCTGGGTTCCGGGCAGGGCTCCAGGGTGGAAACTCCCGGGTGTGGTCGTGGAGGCCAGCGCCCGGCAGGAGAGCTTTGTTCTGACCCCATTGCACGGAGGGCGCCTCAGAGCATCCCAGGACCTTAGGCGCCAGCATCCAGTGCCTCAAGCTTGTGCATTGGGGACGGAGTGCCTCCCGGCCCCGTGACCCCCCATGACCGCGACCACTGCACCAAGGCCTCTTAAGAGCCGGGCCGGGTGTGGCTCAGTGGTTGAGCGTCGACCTTGAACCAGGAGGTCACGGTTCGATTCCTGGTCAGGGCACATGCCTGGGTTGTGGGCTTGATCCCCAATGTGGGGAGTGCAGGAGTCAGCTGATCAAGGATTCTCTCTCATGGATGTTTTCTCTCTCCCTCTCCCTTCCTCTCCGAAATCAATAAAAAAATATTTTTTAAAAAAAGGCCTCTTAAGAGAGGGATCGAGGTAGCCTGAGGCCGCTTCAGGCTCGGCTGCAGCTCCCGGCCCTGGCTGGTAGGACGGCAAAGAGGGCACGTGCCCAGGATCAGTTCAGGGCCCGGAGTCATTAGATCCTGGACTTGAGGGTGGGGCTGGTTGGGATGTTAGGGCCGGGGGGGGGGGGACCCACAATGTGCCTTTTTCCTCCACCCCGTCCGTTTGTAGATGACAGCAGGGGACGTCATCGGGTATCGGCATGCAGGTGGGACCTCGGCCCACTCCTGGTGCCAGCCAGCCCTCCCCACCCTTCCGCCCCCATTGCTCCTGGAGCAGAGAGAGCATGGCCCCGAGACTGGGCAGGTGGCCGGGTTGTGCTGGGCTGGGAATTCCCAGGCAGCTGCCTAGTCACTGGGATGGAATGTGTGGGCAAACCCCTGAGAGCAGGGCTGCGACCCGCCCAGCACACAGGGGGAGGGGAGGACGTCACTGGGCAGCTGGGGGGAGCGGAGCCTCCACGTCCATGAAGGAGTCCATTCAGTGAGAGTGGGCCCCAGATGGGCTGGTCAGCCCCTCCTTTCTCAGGGTGATGACATAGAGGAGGTTTCAGGATTGGGAACCGGGGACCAGGTCCCTGAGCACCTCCCCACCAGGAGGAGGGTAAGGTGAGGCCCCTGTGGGACGCCAGCCTGTGATCCGGGGGGCTCAGCCCCCCACCTGCCCAGCTCCAAGGCCCAAAATGCCTCCATGTCCTACCCCAGCTGAGGGCTCAGACCAGACCAGAAGCCCCTGCCCCCGCTTCTGGAGCCCCCGGTGGACAGACCTCGATGGCTGGCTGCAGCGAGTTGGGAGCCAAGGAGAGGCCTGAAGGTTCCCTGCCCTGCGCCCCGCGAACCTGTGGCCCCACTGGCTGGGTGGGCCTAGGTGTGCGTCAACGGCACAACCCACCCTCCTTCCCTGCACCCCTCGCAGAGCCCTCCCTCACGAGGTGGCCATGCGGCTGGCCTTCATTGGGGACGAGTTGGAAGTGAGATGGACGCTGCCCCGCTTTGCCCACGTGCCCTGGATGGCCATGTACAGGTACCAGCCCAGCGTTGCACTTTGTCCTTCCTGCCTCGGCTGCCGGCAGCAGGACCTCGAGTGACAGGACATGCTGAGTGGGCTCTGATGGTGCTGCCCGAGGCCCTGGCGGAGATGTTCACGATTGGCCGGCCTCCCTGAGGTTCTCAGACCTCATGGGATTGCTGGGGGGGGGGGGGGGGGCAGAGGGCCCTTCCTGGAGACCAGGCCCCCCAAGCGGTGCGGTCCCTTGGTCTCAGGGAGGCTGCCTTCTCTTGGGGAGCCCAGGCCTGTCTCCAAACAGCTTCTCTGGAGGGAGGACCTGCTCCCGGGACCCGCCTCTTCGGGCTGTGGGCAGTGGAGGGTTTTCCACGTGGCCAGGTCCAGAGCGCGAGGCCAGACGCCAGTGCGCTGGCAGGTGTGTGGGGGGGACACGGACGGGGACAGAGAGACAGGAAGTCAGGTGACCTGAGGACCAGAAACAGCCCATGGAGCA